ACGTGTATCATCCCATTCTTTATCATCAGATTTTTGTTGTAATGAATATTCTTGTTCTTGTTGTCGATCAGTAAAAAATTCATCAACATCGTCATGTTGAGAATTTGTTAGACGAAATCCATTAGATGATGTTGATGTAGACTAAAAATTAAATGAAATATAGTATCGATTTCCGTGTTCAACTTGGATTTCGTGATGAATCTGCAGTCTGAATGTTTTTCTTTTTTTAGATACAAACGATATTTCGAATGTTCTTTTCATTTTGTAGAACAAGAATTTGTAAATCATACGGATTTTTCTTTATTGACATTGGACAACGATGCATAGCAACAATAAATAATATCAATTGTATAAGTTTAATTAATTTTTAAAGATTTAAAACTTCAAATACGAAAATTTCGATTAATTATGCTTCCACTAATATAAACGCCTTTGACATAAAAAAATTCCAAGAAAATTTTTAATCTCATATGAAGATAACTTTCATGCTCAAAAGGATAAATAGTAAAGTTGAGGTATAGGTTTTTCATTTTATAAGATATTCCTCAATCGAAAAAAAAAACCAATAACATTGATTCGATTGTAGAGATATTCTCAATATAGAAAATACTGCAAGTAAAATTATCATTTTTTTTTTGTAGATTCAATTATTCTTTGTACGATTATTAAAATTGAATCACTTGATTATATAAGCATAAACTATCTCGGAACAAAAAACATCACAATCAAATAAAATTCTGTATGAATAAAACGAAATTTTATTTTGACAAAAAAAGACTCCCTTTCTAGAGATCTCCATCAAAGTTAACTAAATGTTTCTCTAGTAAATCAGATTGTACATACGAAAATCGATTGATGTTTCTGTAAGGTTTACACTCATGACAAGAACTCGAAATCAACCATCTTTGCAAAGCATTGAATCGAGACTCCAAAATATATAAATTTATACAATGATTACCAAAGAATAAAACTTGCCGTTGAATGTTTTTAGGAGATATTCAATAAATAAGTTTTTAATTCAAAAAAAGAACTCTGTCATAGCCTGCATCTTGACGTATTCTTTTAAACAAAGAAACAATTAAATATAAAGCCCATAGAGAATTCTGACGAGGAAAGGTACCCAAGTGATGAATTATATTCGAGTAGGAACTATATTTAATCGATAGGGTTTAGTAAATAGGTAAATATCCTCGAGTGGTTCGAGCTACTAGGTCTTTATTGTAGTGGCATATCCAGGATTTTTCAGTATGTTGGATTTCACCTTCAGAACATGGGATCAGGATGAAACTTATAGAGGTATGATATGGAACCCAAATGATGATTTTTTATCAAAAGATTTTTTTAATAGGGGTTTGCGAAAAAAATTAGCATTTTCCTGAGCCCTCTCAAGATTTTTCTTTTACTATTTGTAGTATTCTAGTTTTTAGAATTTAATAGTAAGCTACATTGAAATTCATCGACAGATTTCAAATTCCATCTAAAAATATACATCCGTTACCGAGTTACAATGTTTTGAAAATTTGCTGCATGCTGCCAAAATTTCAGAAAAAATTCAAAATATTGTAGCTTGTGAACGGATGCATATTTTTAGATGAAATTTGAAATCTGTCGATGAATTTCGATGTAGCTTACTATTAAACTCTAAAAACTAGAATACTACAAAGAGTAAAAGAAAAATCTTGAGAGGGCTCAGGAAAATGCTAATTTTTTTCGCAAACCCCTATTAAAAAAATCTTTTGATAAAAAATCATCATTTGGGTCCCATATCATACTTCTATAAGTTTCATCTGGATCCCATGCTCTGAAGGTGAAATCCAACATACTGAAAAATTCTGGATACGCCACTACTTTATTGCTAAGATATCGAATATTGAGTGGATTTTTTCTGTAGGACCTCAGTTTTCAACATGTAGGTAAATTTAGCACTAGATTCGAGTTTCTGCCGTCCGGACTCGTTCGTCTATTTGAGTTATATTTCGTTCAACGTGAGTTAGGTGCAGAATTTTACGGAGAATCCAATGGTGTAAAGATTAAGGGAGTCATCAAGCAAAAACTGGCACTTGATCCTGAAATACTAAATTTTTCAAAAGTATTTGCTGTCCGGATTCGCTATTTTACTTGAGTTGGGTCTAAAAATGGTTGAATTGGATTTAGCATGAAATTCTGCATCGAATGATAGCGATTTAGTATCGAATCATCGAGCAAAAATTTTTCACCTCACCCAGCCACACCCTCTCATGGCGACCTTTACCCTTATCTATATGAAAAATTTTTTGCCCGATGATCCCATACTAAATCGATATCATTCGATGCAGAAATTCATGCTGAATCCAACTCAAGTAAAATAACGAATCTAGACAGCAAATGCTTTTTAAAAAATTTTAGAAAATTCGCTATTTTTGAGTCAAGTGTCAGTTTTTGCTTGATAATCCCCATTGATCTTTACACTATCGAATTCTTCGTAAAATTCTGCATCTAACTCAAGTACACAAACGAATCCGGACGGCAAAAACTCGAATCTGATGCTAACTTTACCCACGTGTTTTATGTTTGTCGAATTTCGACCTAAGATTTTGCTCACATAAAGGCAGTGATTAGATTGGCTGATAGAAAAAATTTCCAAATCTTTCGATCATGCATCTCAGAGAGATTTCAAATTTCAAAAGTATAATTTCACTTGGAAATTAAAAATAATTTATTAAAAAATTTCTATTTAAAAAAAAAATAAAATTTTTCATACTTGTTTAACATCCGGTGTTGGTGATGTAAGCCAAGCAGGTCTTTGATTACTATTACTAGATCGTCTAAAATTTCATCAAACAAAAAGAAAACAAATATTATTAATAAATTCAAATAAAAAATGAAATTACCTTTGTCGAGCACTGCTTATATTCGTATTTATTCGATGATCTCTTGCACTATCTAAAACACAATATATATAATCAATCAAAAATAGTAATTGATTTTGTTTATTTTTTAATCACCTCCTCTTGAAGGTATAATTGGTTGTTTTGATTGAGAATTACTTCTTGCACTCGATGGACGTGAAGATAAATTTCCAGATTGTTGTTGAATAGAATTTCCTTTTAATGAGAAATTAAATCCATCATTTGAACGATATGCCATTTATATGATTTTGTATCGAACTTATTTCAAAAAAGAAAAAAAACTTTTTTCTTTTTCATT